CATTCCAAACACCAGCCCGCTTGTCTCGGGAGCCCGCAGATGCTGAGATCGATTTCAACCGTCTTTCCCGCGCGAGAGGCTGCCCCGCGCGCTCGTGGCGCGAGTGCTGGGTGTTTGAAGGTCGCGCGGCCGCGCGAGAAACCGCTACCAAAACCGCGACGCACACCATAACCTCGTCCAAAACCTCGAGACCGGCTGCGGATACCGGGAAAGTGAATAAAGCAGTGCAAACCAAGGGGGTACCACATAGGGATGATGCAAACCAAGGCGGTGAACCCAAAGTGAATAAGCCGCTCTCGGGCAGCCCGAGCCACAGAATCGCCTGCAAACGCTGAAGTCTTTGCTGATTTCGACAGCAAACGCTCCAACGCTCTCGCCTAAGCAGAGCTCCATCCTGCGGCGTCGGCTGCGTTCGACGCTAGTGCACGTTTTTGCGAGCGCATTCACGTTCCGTGGCTCCAAATCCGTCCGATGATGTCGCATCATCGTCGCGCCGTGCCGTCAGGTGCTGAAGCTGCTGCGGAACGCTGCGGGGCTGCCACGGGCTGCTCTCGAGCCGCGCCGTTGCTGGGGCGGCGCCAGCTCCGCGCGCAACGAGATGCATTCGTTGCGCGACGCAGCCCTCGAGCCGCGCCGTTGCTACGTCCGTGACGTGACGGCGAGACCTGAGCGCTGCGTCGACGGGCGGTCGGCGCGACAAGCTTTGGCGCGCTGCCGGCTCGACAAGCTTTGGGCGCCGACGTCTGCACAACGCGGCAGCTTGGGCCGCGGCCGCGCGCCGCGCGCTCCGGCGGACGGCGGCGCGCCACGTCCGCGTCCAGCGGTCTCGCGCGCTCCGCGGCGCGCTCGCGGCACTCGCCGCGGCGGTTGCGGCGCGCGGCCGCGACGCTTGACGCGCGGCGCGGCGCGCGGCGCGCGGTCGCCGCCTGGCGCGCGCGCGCCGTCGGCGCGCCGTCGGCGGCGAGCGGCGGGGGGAAGGCCGCGCCGGGAGGCCGCGGGCCGGCGCCGCGCGGCCGCGGGCCGGCGCCGCGCGGTCCTCGCGCGCGCGGTCGCGCGCGCGGTCGCGCGCGTCGGCGCCGCCGCGGCCGAGCGGGCCGCGGCCCGGCGTCGCCGCGCGGACGGCGCGCGCGCAGTCGCCGCCGCCTGGATCTCGGACGAGAGCCTTCGGGCCCGTGGCGGCCGCGGAGCGCGCCGCGCGCTGCGCGCTAGGTCGAACCACGGTGCCTTGGGCACCGCATCCGCTTCTGCCCCCGGTCGTACCCTTCGGGCGCGCGCCAGAGGCTCTAAATTACCCTCCTCCCCTTCGCCGCCCCTGCGGGGCAGCGATTTTTTTTTGGTGCGCCCCCCGGTATCCAACGCAAGCCAGTGGGACGGGCCAGCGGCACGGCACGATGATGGTGCATCGAGAGCGCTTGAAGCTCGATCGACGCCAGCTATGAAGCTCGTGCAGATCGCCCTCCTGGGCGCGTCCGTCGGCGCCCTCCGGGCGCCGGTGGCGCGCTCCGTCGCGTCGCGCCGCGGCGCGCCGCCGCGCGCCGCGACGCTCGAGCCGGAGATCAAGAGCGCGTCGGCGAAGAAGCAGGTGGGCAACGACGCCTTCCTCAACAAGGACCTGCGCGCCCGCGCGCGGGACGGCCCCGGGGTCGTGTCGGAGTCGAAGCTCAAGGTGGGCATCGTCGGCGCGGGCCTCGCGGGCATGATCTGCGCCATGGACCTGCTGGACGCGGGCCACGACGTCGAGCTCTTCGAGCTGCGGCCGTTCGTCGGCGGCAAGGTGAGCTCGTGGATCGACAAGGAGGGGAACCACATCGAGATGGGGCTGCACGTCTTCTTCGGCTGCTACTACAACCTCTTCGGCATCATGGAGCGCACGGGGTCCTACGACCTGCTCCGCATGAAGGAGCACATCCACACGTTCGTCAACGACGGCGGCGACCTCGGCGCGCTCGACTTCCGCTTCCCCGTGGGCGCGCCCGTGTCCGGGCTCCAGGCCTTCGCGCGCACGGAGCAGCTCGGCTGGGGCGACAAGGC